CTGCAGTTTGGCGAGGCCTCGAGCTTCCGCCCGACGCGTGACGCTCGATTCGCTGACCGGCTGGGGCCTGCGGTCGCCGGCGACGGCGAGCGCGCCAAGGTCGAGTCCGTCATGCAAGAACCTGCGCATCCTGGGCGGCGCGCAGCCTTCGAGCCGCGCCACCTCGGCGTGCCCGAGTGGACCGCCAAAAAGCTTGCCAAGACGGACAGCAGCATGCACTTTTTCGACACCAAGGAGGAGAGGGCGCACTTTGTCGCGAGCCAGCCCGACTTCAAGATTGAGGGCGCCGAGGAGGCCGTGCGTAAGGTCGTCCTGGAGCGCGCCGTCAAGGGCGAGCACGAGAAGCCGCAGTACAGCGCGGGCAAGAAGCCGGTCGACTTGGCGAGAAACGCGCATCTCAAGGAGCCGACCTACAGAGAGAAGGATGTTGAGACCTTTGAGGCCAAGGTGAAGCAGCTCATTGCTTCGAAGAAGGGCAGCGCCGGGCAGCAGGGCAAGAAGGCGCAGGCTTAGGGCGGGGGAGAAGCCGGGGGGAAAAGTCCATGTATAACAATCTGAGGCAGGGGTCCTCACTGTACTGTCTGTTATAGATCACACACACACACACGCATTGTACATCAGAACTGGGGTTCTTCTTTGCATTCTTCTTCGATCTGCAAAAGTGACATGGCTGAACGTCGCCTGGCCATCTGCGACTCTTCTTGTCTCCCGTGTCGCCAGCATACATGTGACGTCTTATCCTACATGCCGCGCCCAAAATGGTGACGACGCCGCCCTACTTGAACCTCTGCAGCGTCTGCTTCTCGACCTGGTCGATGCCGTCCATGACCTTGTTCTGCTGCTTCTGCGCCTCAGCATCGACCCTCTTGCGCAGGTCGGGCCCAATCTCCTTCTGCATGGCCCACTTGGCGACGACCTTCTTCCTGCGGTCGCTCGCATGGCGTACCCTCTCGCGCCAGGCGAGGGGTCAGCGCCTTGGCCTTGACGACGAGATCCTCCTTGCGCTCGGGCTCGACCTTGAGCAGCAGCTCGAGGTCGTTGTCCGGGCTCGGCTGGGGCTGCTGGTTAAAGTCGGGGCTCGCCTGGACGGCGTCGGAGATGGGCTTGAGGTGGGCCCTGTCGTGGGCGAGCAAGGGCGGACGGGTGCGACCGCCCTTGGGGGACGACCTGGGCGAACTTCGCGCAGCGGGAAGCGCTCGGGGGACTTTGGGGTCGGGGGCCACGGGCAGGGCGCCGATCGAGTCGGGGTTGAAAGCGGCCGCCCGTAGCGAGGCGGCGGAGGGCGTCGCGGAAGTGCGTGTCGAGGGCCGCCCAGCGGGATGTGAGGTCGTCCGTGTTGAGGGGGTCGGCGGCGTCGGGTTTGGGGTTCCTCGCGGCGTCGGCGTCGTCGTCGTGGTCGGAGGTCGACGTCGAGGCCGAGTTGCGGGAGGACGAGGATGACGATGGTGATGAGGAGGGGTTGTTCTCTTGCTGCTCGACCATCTTCTTGGCTTTGGACTTCTTGAGGGCCGCGGGCGTCGTGTGGAAGCTGCGGGACGGGGAGGAGGCTGCTCTCGGGAGCACCACCACGAGAGCGGCGGACACGGGAGCTACATTCTGGCTGGGAGATAGTGTCAGACCGGGTTTGTGCTGGGTGCCTCCATGTTTGACGTACCTTGCTGCAGCTCTGATAATAGCATTGGCGCGTGGGAGGGCCAGCCTGTGGGCGCGGAAGCTGTTCATCTTGACGATGGATAGGGATCGTGTGATGTGATGGCGGAGGTGTGGTTGGTTGCGTCAGGTTCAGTCAGCTCCCCACCTCTTCGACAGATACCTTAGGGTACCTTACCAAGGGTAGGTAAGGTACCTAGGTTAGGTACCTACCTGACCCTGACCCGGTCACGCCGCCCGTAGCAAGGCTGCTGTCGCGGTGGGTCACTTCACGGCAGTTCAGCCTGACAGTGCCCTGACCTGCGCAAGTGTGGAGCGCCTGTGCTTCACAGCTGGCTATTCGTCCGTGATCATCCGTGAGCTGCATCATGGAGACGACATTTGGCCGTGCTACCCAACTGATACGGGCATGGCCTTCTCGTGTCTGGTTGTGCAACAATCGGCCTCGTATTGGTGCTCGAAATGAACAACATGATGACTCCGACGTCTGCCCAAGAGACTGCACCATCATGAAGGACGTGTCCAGAGTCAAGCCACGCCTCCATCACAACGGTCACTTCACCACCATCACGACCTACGACAGCATCACGTCACGATTGCCCATGCAATATGCCAACACGCAAGAGCTCTATTAATTATTACTGTGCGAATGCGTCCGGCATGGTGCCCACCCTAGTGGCAGACACGCATGACCTTCAGCAACCCGAAAAGCCTTCCCATCCCCTCCAACGGTGTCCACCCTACTGTGCTCTCAAACGTCTGAAGTCCGACCGAGTCTTCCCAACCGGTCCCATAGTTTCAAAACCGAGCAGCCGACCACCTGCGACGAAGAATGAGAGTTCTTTCGTTTTTTGAGAATTTTTTTGGAGTTTTCTTCGTGTTCATGATTGTCTCGAAACGACGGGTATACGGGGTATCAAAGCACAAAGGCAGGTGTCGATACGGGAAAAACAGGACAACGAAATAAGCCAGATCTGGCGTGACAGTGCTGAACAGGTCAGAGTCGGGACGAGGCTTGCGCCGACGGTACCCTAACGTCTGCCCGTCTGCTGATGCGAATATGCATAAAAACAAAAGTAGGAAAGGGTATCAGAGAACCAATTTTTGACGGGGTATCTTGGGAAATGCAGATCCGATTCCCGACCAAAACCGTTGGCGTGATGTGTTGCGTCGTTGCTCTTGCGATGTCGAACTGGTGCGTGGAAAACAAACTGGCGGCCACCATCAGACGTGCGACCTCCGGAGCGGCATGCTGAAGCGAGCGCTCTAAGCGGCGGCAGTCACGGCAGGAATGGCGCCGGTGACGGGCTCAGGCTTGTTGACGGCCTCCTCAGGGAGCTTGGGAGCCTCAGAGCCCGAGGCGGGGGCCTCGGTGGCCGTCTCCGTCTTCTCCTCGGCCGTCTTATCGAGGGGCTTCTTCTCGCCGACGGGGGACTTGCCGCGGCCCTTGATCGTGGCACGAAGCTTGGAGAAGGGACCAGTCTTCTCGGGCTTGTCACCCTCCTCGTCAGAGGTGGCGGGGGACTTCTCCTTCTTGCCAAAGGCGAAGGGCAGGGAAGACTTGCGCTTCTCGGCCTTGGCCTCCTTCTTGGGCTCGGCAACGGCGGCAGCGGGAGCGGCCTCAGTGGTCTCGGTGGGGACCGTGGCGGGGCTGGCAACCTCGACGGCCAGGGGAGTGGTGGTCTCACCTGGGAATGACGGGGGCGTCCTGGGCGACAGGGGCGACCTCAGCCTCCTTGGCGGGAGCGGCAGGAGTCTCAGTCTCGGCGGCCTTCTTCTCCTTCTTGCCGAAGACGCTGCCGAAGATGCTGTTGCGCTTGGTCAGGGGAGCAGGCTTCTCCTCAGCAGGAGACTCGGCGGCAGCAGCAGGGGCAACAGCGGCCTCGGTAGCAGGGGCAGCCTCAGCAGCGACAGGGGCAGCAGGCTCAGTGGTGGTCTCGGCGGCGACAGCGGGGGTCTCAGTGGCTGGGGCCTCAGCGGTGGCCTCGACGGGCTTCTCAGTCTTCTCCTCCTTCTTGCCGCCGAGGAGGTTGCCGAAGATGCTGCCACGCTTGCGGCTGGCAGAGCGGCGCTCCTTCTTCTCCTCCTTGACGGGCTCCTCAGCAGCGGCGGCCTCGGTGGTGGCAGGGGCAGCGACAGGCTCAACAACAGTGGGAGTCTCGGTGGCGGGAGCGGCGACCTCAGCGGGCTTGTCCTCCTCCTTCTTAGCGGCAGGGGCGGGAATGCTGGGCTTGAAGGTCTCGAGGGTAGCCTTGTAAGTCTCGGTCTCAGGGACAGTGGTGGCGAGCTCCTTGGCCTCGGCAATCTTGAGCTTCAGCTGCTCAACCCAGTTGTCACGCTCGGCAGTGCTGAAGGCCTTGA